AAAAAAAAAAAATTTATAATTCATATTTGTTTATTTGTTTTAAGAAAGTAAAAAAAAGAAAGAAAAAAAAAAAATTTTTTTTTTATACTGCATATACTGCATATACGTAAATACGTTATATACCCTATATCAAGATATATATATTGTAAAATAAAATTTAGGTTTTTTTTTTGTTTATTAAATATTTGAACGAAAAAAAAAAATTTTACAATACTCTTATATATAATGTCAATCATCATACATAAAATTCGGTGTGTGACAGCAAAAATTAATTCAATACTGTGATATATCGCGAATAAAATAAATAATATTCAGTTTGTAAAAAAAAAAGGAAAGGAAAAAAAAGGAAATTCCGATCCGAAGTTGATTGTTTTAAACAAATTAGAGATAATAAAAAGCATTTAATGTAACATATAAACGTATTAATTATATATTATAACTTCTCAACATTCTACACTTTCTATATAAATTCTTATAAAAGCAAGTTCCAAATTTAATATACAGCATTTCGGCACAATACAAATGATACTGTATGCATTATGTAAATTAATATAGGAATTTCTGTATAAATCACATACTGCGCCAACATATTCAAAATATTTTCAATGAGTGAGAGATAAGGAGATTTATTCCTTACGGAATTTGAAGTTTTTATTTTAAATATACAAGCGTAATTGTTTGTGAAATATGCAACATTACAAAGATTAAAAATGGATTAATCCATTTGGGAAACGATAAACGTTAAGTATGATAATCGGAGATCGGAACGACTTTCAAGGATTTACCATTTATGAAAATATATCAGTGCCACAAATTCCCATTTTTAAACAATTCTTAATTGAACATTTTAACAATTAATTAAACTATTAAAGTAATGAATAACGAATTAAAAAACCCCAGAATTATTTTAACCCCTAAATTATTTATAGAAAATCACCATAATAGCCCCCAAAATTGATGTTTAGTGATAAAAATTTTTATAAATGGGTGCTTCTAAATGATATTCCAAAATTGGCTATCTTTTTTATCAAATGATTAACCAAATTTGTTAAATTCTAATTTTTTTTTTTTATGTTTGTTTTGGAAAAGATCAAATAACGATCACTAACGAATCCGACTAATGTTACTCAATAAAGCTTTTACAGTATACCAAAAATTTGATATTAAAAGAAAAGCTTGACAATTTATTACTATAAAATTACTGTCTCTTATACACATCTAGATGTGTATAAGAGACAGACCCCGTCCACTGCTGTACTCTGAACTTTAAAAATAAAAAAAAAAAGTTTTTTTTTTTATCTTTAAATTTTATTTTTGTAATGAAATCAGATAATATCTTTGCCCCCAAAAATTTTTAATTACATGACACAAAAGAAAAATCGTTTATACTGTCTTATTTTATTAATAGAAAATGGAAAATATAGAATTGTTCATGAAATAATCATTAACAAACTTTTTTTTTCCAGGTATGGAATATAATATGTATCATTAAATTTCATTATGTTTCAGATATTCTTAATAAGGAAATCTATTGTTATTTTTTTTATCATCTTGGAACAGTTGATTTTCTCCTTTCACTCATTAGTATGATAATATTATGTACGAAAAAACATCAGTATTTTTGAAATATCAACGTAAACGGGAACATCCATTTTTTATAAATCGTATTTTTATCAAATATTTTTTTTTTTTAAATTATAAAAATCATCGCTTAATCAAAATGTTGATCTACATTAATGATCCAAAGGTAATCAGCGGCTCAGCAGGTCTGTGTGTGTAACCGTTTTGAGAAGAATTAAAACACAAGAGTTTTATTTTAATTGTTTCCGTATTCAGGAAACAAATATACCGTAAATTTTAATTGTGGCTAGTGAACAAAGGTATCTTATTATATGCATTCGGATTATTTGTTTTTCTTCTTAAACTTGTTTTCCTTAAATTTGAAACATTCAACTTCTAAATATGTACACAAGAAATTAAAAAAACACTATTGCCTACATTATAAATAGAACCGTAAAAAAAGTGTAAAATTCCAATTGAAAACATTTAGAAAAAAAAAAAAAAAAATACTTTCCAATTTATTCATTATAAAAAATGGAGCGACTTTATATAAAACAAACTTTTCGCTTATCATTCTAAATAAAAATTTTCGTACTATACAACATATACTGTAAATCGTATCGACGAAATTATCAAACATAATGTTTGATAATTTCGGCACGATATATACGATCTGTCTCTTATACACATCTAGATGTGTATAAGAGACAGATACAACATATACTGTAAATCGTATCGACGAAATTATCAAACATAATGTTTGATAATTTCGGCACGATATATACGATATCTATATCGTTAATATCCAATCATTTAAAATATAACACCAATTTGAATAATTTCCATAATTTGAAGTTATAAATTCCGAAGCAACATGTTATATACACGGACAAACATTTACAATTTAGATTAATAAAATTTATTCTTTCTTGACTCACAAATGTTCTTACAATTAGTACAATTTTATTCACTATTATATATAAAGAAATACTGTAGTAAATAGTATTAAGACCAGCTAATACACTACCATACCTATAAAATAACTCCGATAAATGACCATTTTTCTAGTTTATTCCGAAAAAAACTCATATTAACTAATAGTTTTTGATTTTACAATATTTCTAAAATTAATCTATTAATAATTATTTCATGATATTAAATTATTTGAGACGAAAATAAAATATATAAAATGTTTTTTCTTTAAAAAAAAAAAAATTTGTTATGTGATCGCATTCTCTCGTAGTCAATAAAATCGTGCCAAAGCAATTAACAATTTTCTTAAAAATTTTGGCCTTAATCAAATTTTATAATTAAACATGTTCATAACCATTTCCAAATGCAGCGAAATTGATTCTTCAACATTAACACCGAAATTCTAAAAATTCTTGAAAACCTCCTTTCAAATCAAAATATTCGGTATTTTGATCACGGTCACGTGAAATCGGATAAATCACTTATTCAACACTCGAATCGTTGGACTAATTGCCGATACGGTAATTGCAAATCTTAGAAATCTTAGGGTAATACAAAGCATGTTTCGGAAAGTTTATTTAGCCGACCTTATTGCGAAATTTCTCTGGCCAACTTGCATACTATTATTATTTGTATAATCTGTATCATTTGTACTATCATGAATTATGAATTCAGAAACAATGAGCAATCATATAAAGAAATTAATTACAATAATCCTTTGTAATGGCGGATAATAAAGTTTTAAAATTGTTTTTATCTTTAATTATACAACGGGGTATGTTTGACTTACTAAATTTTCGTTTATTTCAAATTATATTTTTGTTGGTGCGTATAAAACCCTTGGAATAATTTGATTTCACATGGGTGTATATCATGTATATCACACAATCACACAAAGCCACAATACGTTAATATGGTCAATCGTGCTACCAAAAGATTACGTAGTATAATACTCTTGAATCATAATCTAATGATAAACCCGTATTATTCATTTTTATTTTTTTTTCACACGTACTGAAAGTATATATATACTTCCAGATCCTCTCTTGCAAACCTTTTTTCTCAAAACTAAACTTGCTTATTATAACTGATAGTCTGATAATTGTTTGCGGATTATTACCTTTAGTTAGCCTGATACGCAAACTTATAAATTTCGAGTAAAAATTATACTTTTAACTACGTCCGCGAAAATTTTAATTAACAACTGAGGTTCCTCTCTTCAAACTATTAACGTTTAAAGACTGAAAATGAAAAATATAAAAAACTTATACAAAAAACAACGACGTGCGTGGTTGGGCGAAAATAATGAGTGTTTTCGATCAAAAGACGTCTTGTAGAATGGTAAATTTTAGAGGCCAGGATGAAGAATCTACTAATAAAAATACCGAACTTGAAGAACAAGAAGAAGATAACGAAATTCCGAAAAAAAACTAATGTAAAAAAATTCAAAGAACAAATTAAAACGCCAATTAGAATATATTTCGTAGTTGAAGATCATGAAATTTTTAGGTAGATCGATCCATGTAATTCCACATGGATTAGTTCGGAAATATGTGAAATTCCATACATTCCCATATATCTTATGCCGAATTTTGTGGATCTACGCCGAAAATACCACGTGATTTGTCACAGGATTTGGAAAATATTCTAACTATTCGGATTTCCAACAATATTCGATGTGGATTTCCATGTGGATTTTTAGTGGAAAAAATTCCTGATGATAACCCTAGATGAGGTTCAAATGTCAATCGATAATTTCGAGAAGTTGTATATGATGTGAAATAGTGTATGATGTGAAATAGATAAAATGGAAATTGATAATCAATGAATCAAATCCAAAAGACGAAGTAAGAATAAAAAAAATAATTAAAATTTTATTAAATATTAATAAATATATTTAAAATATATACAGTATATTTGTTAGGAATTGTGAAAAAAGAAAGTAACGTTGAATTCTATGATCAAGTAATTACTTTGCCAGAAGCAGAGGAGCGATTTGAAATGATGCAATTTCCAAGAAACTCTGAGGCTTTGAAAATTTGCTTATCGTGTTTAAGCACACCCGTGCAACAACAATATGGATTAAAAATCTGCTAATCATCATTATCGTCATTGTTGTCATTCGATTTCTCTTACCGATTGTTATCATAACCTAATTCTTCATCATTATTATCATCTGCACGGTTTGTATTGGTTGCTGTACTTTTGGATTCCAATTTTTGCAATATTCATCGACGTATCTCTTGCAAGAAAAAGACAGACAAGAAGATAGCACACCAATATCAAATGTAATATTATACAATTCCCTTATTTAACCCTTTATTCATAAAAAAAATCATTATTAACATTATTAACAAGAAGAATTAAAAAGAATTATGCAAAAAAAATTCTCCTTTTACGGTAAATAAAAAACACTTAACATGTCTTGTCTGGCTGTATATTTAATACACTTAGCAAATAAGCATGTGAGACAGAAATTTTCTGAAAAAATTTAAATTTATGTTTAATGAATAATATATGAATAGAAAAATACCGAAAATAGATAATATAATAATTCTGCCATACAGACGTGTATGATGATTGATGACGCCAATTGATTTTCACCAAAAATCAAAAAATAAATACAAGAGTCGGCGTGTGCATTATGGAGTTGGTGATCCCAGTGATTTTATTCTGGTGCTTTCACACCTTGCTTGAACCATTGAGCTAATACTATAAGGCTGTAAGGTTATAAAATTGAAGTGTGTTGTATGAATGCGTATTCACAGATTTGGAGATATTATAAGGTTGTTTTGAACGAAGTAAATATTCATTTAAATTTACGATCGCAGCGATGTTCCAAATCTTCAATTATTTATGTGTCAATAAGGTTCTTAAATGTTTCATTATCGGCAAAATTTTCTTATAAACTTAACGGTTCGTGTCACAAATATATTTATTTATTGCTTTCTCACTTTAAGTAGTAGATACTAAAAGATGAACTTATGACATGGATCAAGAACATTTTTCCAATAAAATAAAATAAATTAAATTACTTACTTTTACAACTTATATTTATTAATAAATTAAAACTTACCGGAAATTATCTGCTTTTTTACTGTATTCCAGAATCTTCTTAACCGAAGTTGTAACCTATTCAGCATTGTGATTGCATCAATATACAAGAAAAAAAGATCAGATTTTATTTTTTTGTAATTACACTTTAATATGGTTTGTGGTTGACTTTATAATATTTGTTTCTTGAAAAGAATAAATTCATGAAAATCCTAGATTATATCTCTATATTTTAACAAAAAATTTTTTGGGGTATTCGCAGTCGATGAATGTACGAATAAAAATGGGATAGCTCTAACAAAAATACTTTGTGTTGTTCACAAATTTGGACTCGACACACGCAATCAATTATAATTTTGGCGCAGTTGCATGATGGTTTTACAAATCCGGATTCAACATGATTTCTATTTTTGGCAAAATTTACATCATTATATATAATCTCTCCAATAATATATTTTATATCAAAAAGAAAGAAGACTATTATTTTAGATCAGGACTACTTAATTAGGAGTTGTACAGGTTATTTAATAAATAAGATTTATTAGATTATGCACGATATAACGTAATTAATTAAATAAATTTGTATGATTTTTGGGTTTTTTTTCTACAGCGAAATGCAGTTACATCAAAATATATTGTAAGACCTTCAGAAAACACCAAAGCATGTGAGAAATGACTGGCTATTTACGTTTTTGTTAAATTTAGTTTTCCTCCGGAATCCCGAAAATGTCAAAGTTCATATTTTTCTTATTAAAGATCAATATAGGGGTTAAGCGTATTATTATTTATCATGCTTCGAATCGCAAAATGCGTCAGAAAAAAATTTTTGTAGAACCTTCTAAAATTTTTTAAATGAAATGATTGGTTCTTTTAAACAAAGAAATATTATTTTTATCGATCGAAAGTTTTTCAACATAGATTCGTACAAAATTTATTGGATAGCGCATTTATTTTGACTTAACCCTAGTCCTCTTTTTTGTATAGTATATTGTATGTATATATATTGATATATATTGTATAATTTTAATCCAAAAAAGTATTTATAATGATACATCTGGCCATCTGCAAATATTCTATTATATTCGGTCCTTAAAATTCTCGCTGTATACCCTAAAATAAGAGGCTTCTATTCTAAATCTGTTACTAAAAAAATTATATATAAGTACGATATCAAAACAATTATTCATATTAAAAATTTCTTTACCTAAATAAATATCATCCTTATATTCTCAATAAAAAAATAATGAAAGAAACAAAAAAAACTTTAAATCATCTAGAATTTTTAAAAATAAAGAATAATCCGCCATGTAAGTTAAACATGAATATTGATAATTTATTACGAGATAGATACAACAATAATTCGTATAACTTATATCAACGAAATGTATTGGCGCGGCTTAATAAAAAGGGTTGCGGTAGTAAATCAAAGAAAATGTGGAAAGAAGAGTCCGAAGAAATAAAGAAGTTCTTTAAAATTTTGGCGATTGAAGGAAATCGCAGATTCAAATTAAGAAACCCAAAATCGCCATCGACGCAACCGCCACCACAACCACCAAAAAAGAAATTACCGTTACTATTACCACGTCCACCATTGACCCAACCATATGTTTATTACCAACCTCACTCATATGAATATTATCAACCACAACCATTATCTTCACCAGTCGAATACTGGAAAATGCACAAACTATCAGATGAGTCGCAGTATCAACCACAACAACTACCGATACACTGCGTATCAGCAGTAACACCACTTCTATTTCAACCACAACTGCAACCACAACTGCATCCGCAATTGTCAACAATACCGCCGCAACCATTGCCACAACAATATGTAAATTACCAACAGTTATTACACGAAGATAATCAGTCACTGGATGACTCCTGGTTCCCAGATGAATTTCATTTACCGATATCACAACCACTTCCAGAGCTACTTCTAAATAATGAACACGAACAGCCACAGTCACCATTAGCATTTGATGTTTATTTTAACGATCTTGATTAATACATCCGCAATAAATATCTGGTAAAAATTATTTATTTATTATTGATTTAGTGGCAATTGTAATTATCTTAATATAATAATATGTTTTAATATATGATTAGATATATGATCAGAAGGAATTAACCTCAACATACACTACAACGTCGTATTGTTGTATTCGTAATAATACCGTCACAACTCTATTTTTTATCGTCATTTTGTATTTCGTCAGTTTTTTCATCGTTTTTGTAATAATCATCATTTAAATCTTCACTTTCGTTATCTTCGTAAATTTTTTTATCATCTTTATTATCGGCTTTTCATTGTTCGGTGATACGCACCATTACAATACAGGAATATAAAAAAATTGGGATATGAGATATGACATAATTTTATAGTGACTAATTAACAATTCTATTTTCTGAAATTTTCTTACAAAAAAAAAAAAAAAATTATATAAAGCCATGGGTGGGTACTAGTTGAAATCTTAANTAATTAACAATTCTATTTTCTGAAATTTTCTTAAAAAAAAAAAAAAAAAATTATATAAAGCCATGGGTGGGTACTAGTTGAAATCTTAAGCCATATAAGTTATAAGTTATAAAGTCATATAAGTAATATAAGTCACATAAGTCTTAAGTCTAACTCTAAATAAAAACTCCTTTTTTTATTTGTAATTTCATTTTTATATTTGAGATATTTTATATTTAAATTATTATTTATAATTAATACCTGATATCGACTTTCATATTTTATTTTTACAGTTTTTTAGCACAGTATGTGCGTGATAGTTTGATGAATGGTAAAGCTATTTCTATTGGAACAGTTAGTAGAGTAATAAAATATCTTTCTATTTTTAATAGGAAATTTTTAGTTCTATTCAGTCCATTCCTGAATGATTTTTTTTTAACTTAAATTAGCAAATCATGATTTTTTTACATTATAATCTGCTTTAAGTTCAATTTTGACTAGGATCATATTCTTATTGATGTGAGTTCATATAAGCATGTAACGTTTGGTAACATGCATTGATTTATTGCGCTTTTCAAAATTGTGCTACCCTCTTATAGATCATCTGATAAAAAATTTTTAGATTACAGGACAAAAATCGGACAATGTTGTCCTGTAATCGTCCCGTAATCGTCCTCACTCAGAAATCACAACGTACACAGAATTCTGAAAACTGCGATAAATAATTTTGCAATTTTTATTTTATTTATAAATTTATATATATATATATATATTATATTATGTGAAGACTTTAAATTTTACGTTAAAAAATGGTACTAAGTACTGTTGGTACGAATTGAATTGTACCTGTGACGATCTTATAACTGTACCCACATCTGCATCGTACCTGTACCAATTAAATATATAATCTTTTTTTCCTGGTGATGCTACAGACTACCAAGATATACGTAGATTAAAATTGATTGAAATAAGAACAATTGAACTGAGAATAAAACAAGACAAAAAAATTATACATTTTATTTATTTTTTATTTATTTATTTATTTTTTTTTTACAATATATATTAACAAATAAACAAAAAAATTTTTTAGGTAATTATAATCAACCAGAGATCGGAGCGCCACCTATAAGACCAAGATTTACTGTCAAATCAGAAAATTTTATTATTGTCTGCAAAAATGATCTTAATCCAATACGGTTTAGAAGAGAATAATTACCAGCCACAATAAATATTTTCTTTTAAGACCATGGCACAGTGGCACACTATACATATTCGGCTAATATATTTACCATATTTGCAGACATTTTGAAAGGTGCCATTGAAATTGTCAGATTAATGTACAAAATTTTATTCTCTCGAAAATACAGTAGGTTTAAATGATCAAGAAAAAAACCTTTCCGTAATTTATTTCTATTTGATGTATTTCATGCGAGTCGGCGAAAATAACAATACAAGAGAATTTAGAGTACTTGGTAATTTTCCGTGCTCGTTTTTGATACTTTAAAAGTGCACTTTTATTTGCTAAATGGATTACAAAGAGTGATATTATGTTTAGTAAATCAAATATTACTTTACTCGTTTTTGATATAGTTCTAGGGTAAGAGATTAATTTTATTATTTGATTAAATTGTTTTTGGGTAATTTTATAGCTCAAAATTATTCACTTTTTTTAAATATATTTACACAGGTGAACTTGACTTAGAAAAACATCTAGGCGAAATTAATTTTTTTTTTTTTTGTGAAGTTAAATTACTCGATATTCAGAGGTAAATAGTCTTTTTTTTATTTGTATCCTTTTTTAATAAATAGGAGTTAGTAACTAAATTTCATCTTTTTCAGGTTTTGACCGATCTTTGGACAATAAGCTTATGCAAGATTTCGAAGGTATTACTACTTCGAAATTTTTTTTAACATGAAATGTTCGCTTCATTCTTTTTTTAGGTTTCAGACGTTGGATTTAATGAGGATAAAACTTTACTAAGGAAGCCGAAAATAGGTACTTGATTCCTATTTCGAAGATAAACTTTCGAAATTCTATCTGAGACGCAGGACGCTACTTCAACATTTCGAAGGTATTGTATGATTTGGATCTTCGAAGTTAATAATTTTGTTATTTTATTACAACGAAACGTTAGCTAACAACTTTGTTTTGTTTTTTTGTAAAATATAAGTCCTGAACTCTGGTACAATCTTGTTTTTTTTTCTCTAACTTTTTTAATTAATGCTTATTAACGCTTCGTTGATTTTTTTTTTAGGTTTTAAGATTTCGAAATCTTGAACGAACATGATTGGTAAATTCGTCGACTTCGACATATTTTTTTACAGATATTTGCTTTTTTATTTTTAAGAAAGTGGTTTATTAAAATTTATTTCATTTGTCTCTTTAGGACTTACAAATAAATCAAAATTGGATGGAATATATGGAATTTCGAAGGTATTTACTTTCAAAAAGTCAAAAAGAAAAATTTTTTATAACAAAATGTAATGAATTTCAATTTTCTCTTTTTGTAGGTCTGTATACGGCTTCTTAGACGCGTTTTGAGCGTAATTTTGAATATAAGCACTTCAAATCTTTTTTAATTTTTAGTTCTTTTGTTAAAAACGAAACACGAGTTGACATTTCGTATTTTCTCTGCTTTTCTTACGATAGGTCAGCTTCCTGGACTTGGACGCCATTTTTGAGTTTGAAGATATATTTTTTTCTTTGAAATTAGGTATGGCTTCGAAAATATTATACCGTATCTTCTTCTTATTGTTTAGCTTTTTTAACGAAATAATACTAATTTTTCAGTTTCTTTTTGTAAACAAGACCCTATAAAAAATTTTTATCCGAATATTTCCATTATTTCTCCGTGTCTTCCGTAAAAATTCCGTGAAAACGATACATTCACGGAAAAAACATGGTAAGATAAAACACGGATCGCATTTTTAATCTAAAATAATCAGCCTGAAGATTCTATTTTTAATAGAACTGGATATACAATACATATTACATTAACAAAATACGTGTATAGACAAAATCTAAATAACACATACTTAGATTTATTAGTTGAGATAAAATATCTGATTTTCACATGAATCATATCATTGGTTCGTGTGAAAATGTGGCATAGTACTGTTACGGGTATAAATGATCAACCGTTAGGCTGATCATTTTGATTCTAGTGCATAACTTGTTTATCTCCTGCCATTTACACAAATATAATATACATATACTCACTGCCCAGGTTCTGCATAATTGTGTAAATGGGACCAATAAGTTGCACACCCGATTATGTCTAACGTTCAACCGATTCATAACTAGATTACATCTATGTAAATTTCTTTAGGCTTATTTGTCCTTAGCTGTGTCTTGGTTGTCATCTATGCTAGCACTGCCCAAGGATCTTCCCGGATATGTTGATTGAATAATTCATTCATAGTCACAGGTGCAGTAAAATTTACGACAAGCCGGCACGGTCGCAGTTATAGATTGGCTTTTGAAGGCTTTTTGGGGCTAATTATGGGATGTCTCAGTATCTCGCTTCCGCCTGTAAAGTTCCATTTAAAATCTTTATATGAATCCACTTACTATGATTTCATTGGATCTCATCTTAATGATACAGCATGTCAGTAAGCCTCTTTTTCAAAAAACAAGTTTTTTATCATTAATTTACGTACTGCCAAGGTCTATATAACGGACCCCAATTCATTGAATTCTCTTTAAGCTCTTCATTCGTGAGTTTCCTCTGGTAAGAAATAGTTGTTTGGTGATTGCAATTAATTATTCCAATCATTTTGATACATATTTTTTTTTTATTTTTACAGCGAGTCGGAGTATTATAGAATGAATAATAAGTTACCAAAAGGAAGGTAGTAACCTGATTGATAACTTATCGAGTACTAAAATCAACCAAACACCATTAGAATCCATTCGACAACCAAGTGCTTAGAATCAAACCAAACACTAATTTAACCTATTCAACAATCGGAATTCTTAGAATCAACCAAACGCTAATCAAATCCATTCAAACAATCTAGTGCTTAGAAATTAGAATCAGCCATATGTGTAAGTGACTATTTTCTCATTTATCACTTTACAATGTAATTATAAACATTAACAAACTTTCTTTCCCTTTTAATTTACAAAAAAGATTTCAAAATTCATTAATATCGAGGGTGAAGATACTTAATTGACCTTAATCCAAAGCTGAATCCGATTTAAAGAACTGAATTTTTTTTTAACAACTAATGATAAACTAATATTAATAGATAATGCTAGGAAATAATTGTGAAACCAAACTTAGTATTAATAGATAATGCCAGAGAATGAAAACCGCGTTTTTTTTTAACTTAATATTTTAAATTAAATTTTATGTGAATGAATAAACCAAATATTCAACATCTAACGGGTGTCATAAATAATCACCTGTGAAACCCTTGTTTTTTGAATTTATGGTTTATTTCATTCAAAAAAATTAAGTTTTTTCCTTTAAATTTACCCACTATTTGTACTTTTTATTTATTTAATCAAGTTTTTATTTTTATTTATTTTATTTTTTATTTCTATA